CCCTCCTACTGACACAATATTCGACTGCGGTGTTTGCCCGGTTGGCTATCTTTTCACATCCACGCAGACGTCACGACAGTGCGGCGTGCATTTAGTTCCTCCACCCTTTTCACTCATTTCCGTACTTCCTTCTATCGCATATTGCATTTCATTTGCTCGTTGGATCGACTGGAAAACTTTAGAGTAAAAAAGTCGAACCTACCGACAGTAGAAACGCCAAACCTGCCATCCCACGCGTTTAAACTGTTTTCGGTACAATCGAGCCATACACATTCCGGTCCAGCTGTCAAATAAAACCATTCGAGACAAGTCGTCTGAAAACCAACGCCACGCGGAATTGAATACTTTTCTTTTTGCTAAATCAACTTTCGTAGGTCTTGTTTTTTTAAGCGATATCCACATCATCACTTGAAGCGTACTTTCCATGTAATGTACTTTCGAGAATACTTGAACAAATAGGGCTTGAATTGTAAAAACAATGGCACAATTTTTAAAAATTTGCTGTACACTTAGCTGTTTCTAGTTTAAACCCGAAACAGCACATGAACACTTTTATATTAACTGCTGATTGAATTCAGTAAGGAAGTCGCCTCGCTATGCGCCAGTGCAACCAGGTGAAGAAAGTACGGCAAGTGGTCGTTCTGCGAATAAGAGCAGTACGATCAAACCAGCGCATGTATTTATTTGCGGTAATATCTTCTGGTGATTACCATATTAAATAGTCATCTACAAAAAAGCATGGCCTTACACATCGTCCACTTAAATATGATCACACAACAACACTATGCTGGTCCCGTTGTTTTCAAGTCAATTCCATTTGCCCGTTTCTCATCTGGTTCCATCGAAGCAACGTGGGTAAACAGAATGCTCAAAAAAATGGCGACTAAGACAGACTGCGCCCTACACAAATTCTAACGTAGCACTTAGTGAGGTTGAGGCAGCATCTTTGCCACTGTGCCATTACACCAAATGGAAAACATAAATCCATGTTGTTTATGTAAACGCTATGCAACTGTCATTTACTTTAATATGCCTGATGGCTGAAAAATATTCAGCACGTTAAATAAATTACTTAGAAAGGCAATAATTATTAATCAGCACTGCCCTTTTATCGAGTGAGCCGTTGCAGCATCTTATTTTACTGTACTTGAATGCTTTTCTACAGTAAGATAAGGCTTGCAAACTTCGTCGATGAAATTGTCGTAATTGTGGTAATAAATTATTATTGTTATATTTGTAATGCAGATATAAAATTAGCAGTTAGTCAATCGGTCAGTTTTAATGACTGTTACTCATTCGGGTCGTGGGAGCAGACGCGTGACAGTGTCCAACGTTCCCGATACTGTGCCAGCATTTGAGCTCCGGCAGAAGACAACCGGAGTCTAAAGCAGGCTCGTTCCATATATTTGCACTAGCTTAATCTTGGTCGTACGCATTGTCTTCCGCCGATTGGCTGGGTAAGAAATAGTCGCCTCGCCTTCCTTTTTCGAGACATTCGTCATTTCTGGAAACATGCCAAAACCATCGAAACTTCTGGTCTGCAGAAACAGCGGCTGTACACCAAGGTTGTCACAAATATCTGTATTCTGGACCATGTCGAAACGTGTGAGCCCAGCGGTTCATTTCAGAAAGCCCATTTACGTCACTTGTACCCGAGATCGAAGTACCTACGGTTCATGACCGTTGATGATTTTTGGGGTGAAGATCGACTTGAACACAGATAACTTAGTGTCCAGACTCAGCTATAGTTTAGTCTCAACGATGGCGGATAGTTAAAAAGACATTGTTGGCCATTTCAGGTCATCCGTTGATCTCTTCCTCTTATTTTCCAAACACTACCCCGGAATACGTGAATTTCTCTGTCTTCGCCCCTTTTTAGCGTGACAGGTAAGGTTTCACTGGAGCAGATTAATGAAGAAATATAACGTAGTATTTATACGGAAAATCTGGCTTTATTTTGGTTAGTAGGGTATTTATCTTACGATTTTGATAATGAAGCTTATAAGTATTCGGTAGTTAGATTTCTTTCAGTGTTAACAACTTAAATAGTGAGCATTTGATTCTTAAGTTCCTTTAGAGTTTCCTTAACCGATTCTGAAGCTTGATGTCGTTGCCGACGGAAATCTGTTGCTCAGTTAGGTAGTATTCTGTATTGTTCATCAGTTTTTTCGGTCGGGTCATAGATTTGATTCAAGGTATATGTTAAATCACTTCTCCGGTCGAGTCACCGGATCAGATGCAGTCGATAAGTTTTAACAAGTGTCAGTTATCTGTTAAAGGCTTGTTTTTGTTTATGGTGAATAACTTGCCGTTATCGACGGCTTGTTTTACCTTATTAAAATTTGAATCTATCAGATGTTGATAGCTCCACAGATTGTTTTTTACGAATTAACTAATTACACCGGCTAAAATACTTAAGCATACTCTTGATTGAGGTTCATCAGCCACAGCAGCCGTATACTTTAACGGTGACCAAAGATTAGTTGATCTCCGTGAATGCGTAGTAAAGTTGTTTCTGGCAGATCAGCCTCACATAGAAATG